TTATTTATGAGATGATTAACAATTAATTATTAAACTAGTTAAAGTTTTGGAGCACTAGCTGCCATAGCTTTGGGTCGCCTATGTCCGATTTTAATCATATTTCTGGATATTTCTAATTGGTTGTAATTAAACAACTTTTTTTTATTAACTACGATAACTTATTTTTATATGTCTGTTAAGAGCTAACTGAGTTTACCCTTTTTAATACATGGTTTAAATATTTCGTTACATATTCGCGTTTGTATTGCGCTCTATTATTTGAAAGGAGGTTGAAAATTGGAAATCCCTATAAGTAAATAGATAATGCGCAACTAACACAAAAACAATTTTGAGTGAATAATTTTTTAATGAATTCTGCTGTTAGTTCTGACACGATGGAGGAAGAGTTGTTTGCCACAATTTACAGCCTTTTCGGGAGTTTTTTAAAAATTAAATTACCAATTTAATTAATTAAAATCTGTCTTCACTTTCTTAAAGCCTTTCTTTTTGGGCATTTCCGGAATCTCTGGCCACACACGTCATAGTTCGCCGGACTGGCTAATAAATCTTCCCCCATCGCCTTAGAAGATTACTTTTTTTTTCATTTATTTGTAGTTTTATTTCAGAAATAAGCTATTCATTAATTCAAGTTTCCTTTCTTTTAAAGTTTTATAATTTTAAATGTTTATTTAATTTTTTTTTTTTATTTTTGCAAATAAAATTCTCCCATCGCGTCGAAGGCGTTTATTAGACATATTTGTAATTTTATTATATTTTTTTCTAAGTATTTAGACTTTTTTAGCTTCTCAGGCGTCATTATAACGTTAGACAATGCCGACATATTAAATAAATAAATATAAATATCAGAAACGATCAGAAATGCAACTGGAAATGGCTCGAAACGTGTCTAAATAACGTCGTTAATGCTTTCATCTCTAATCGGAAATAATTGGTTTAATTATTGCAGGACCACTCCTTGTGGTACAACCGACTAACAAATTTCCAAATCAATTTGCCTGCTCTGCTTGACTTAAACAGCTTTCAACTCCACTACCCGGATCCAATTGGCCCATTTAAAATGTCATTTTCAGGCTGCAGCTCCAGGGGACAATTGTGTGTATTTTCTCATGCACACGCATGTCTGGACATGCGCCTGCATTCATATGGGCACGTGTTGCCCATATTAGTGGTCAGTCAAATGCCTGACTTGACTTGCTAACGAGTCCAGGGAGTGAGAGTAAGTAGTCAGGTGCTGGCTGAGAAGAGATGAGATGAGCTGCCATCACACGAAATTACATCATCAGATTTCAATTAGACGCTTTTGTAAGCGAGGCAATTAGATACAGTTGAGTTGCTAACGAGTTTCTCTTATTCTTCAGCTCTGTTCGTGACATTGGTCTGAACGCATTATAACTATATCGTCATCATTACATCATTATCATTCGCTGACATTAATGAAAGCTTAAACTGTTTTAAGTAAATGTGAAAATGGCGTCTAAGCTGCACCAATTACGAGTCCACACACAAGCTTAGGTTGAGCAGCGACTCTGCTGATTAAATTTGAGTGGTTTCGTGTGGTTCGGGGGTGGTGCAATGCTTATGCAATGCTTACAAATTACGAGTTTGTTTCCCAACCGATACCCAACCGAGTGGGAGGAATGCGCATTGAGGCGCTTTCGACACCCACAAGAAGCGCCTGTGGCGACAGGCAACGTCGTTGATTTCATTAATTATTCATGGCACAATGTGTGTGTGTGGGAGTGTGTGTGTGAGTGTGTGGGTCCTTCGGTTGTTTAGCACCGTTTCTGCCAACAATTTGACAGCCACAAGCGCAAGTTTACGGCACTCTTTCGATCTGACAAAGCAATAAATTCCTTCAAATGTTACTATTCATGTTATCTGACTGTCTTTTCATTTGAATGACGATTTCAACATCATTTCAAATGTGCACTGTATTTAATCATTTGTTTAACATATGTTAAATAAATAAATAAATTTAAATATAAAACTAAATTCGAAGAAATGTAATTAGCGAAATAATTTTATTTTATTATGTATATTTTTATTTATTATTAATTATTATACTCTCAAATTGCAGGGAGGGGTACGCCCTTGGACTTCTTCTTGTTGCTTCTGCTATGGGCGCCTAACACAGCAGCGTTCGTTTGTTTAGGTACAGGGTATTTCAATGTCGGGCTTGCCCTACTGTTCTTCATAGCCTCTTCTCATTTCCATAGGTATACATTTGCTTGAAATGGCCATCAAAGATTTCCTTCGATTTTTTGAGTTGGAAATTTTGTCCACTATACAGAGTTTCTTCCGTACAAAGCACTGCCAAAATGTTCCCTAAAATGCCAATCGTTAGCATTCAACAAGCTGCCTAAGCTGTCTCAACTATTTATTGCGCGTATGTGCGCTCCTTGGGGTCCAGAAAGCCTACTATTGTCACAATTTTATGACCAGAGCGGGCACATGTCAAATCTTTGTGATCCCAACCCGCCCAGGGGGCGTGTTCTATGCGCAGCATGTTTAAATATATGCATACAAATATGTATGCTATGTATATATATTTAACCGTGCGTATATATTACACATACTATATGTATATTTATTGGTTCTACTGACGATTTGCATTTATTTGCGCTGTTGAACAATTTGTTGGTTTCGGGAAAATTTACAGCTCATTTGTTATGTGAGCGGAAAGAAGGCGGGGGCCACAACGTTGCAATTATCTATGAGGGCGCACAGGTCTTAGTGTGTGGGGATTTATTTATGATATTAATTACCGCTTCGCCCATTATGTGATTTACATATTTAACAAATTTTGTGAAGCTGAGCGATTACTCACATTTCAGTGCACACATGTTTTGGATATCTTTATCGTACAATACCCAATTAGAGCTGTGTGCTTTGCCACAGTTTGTGGAACTAGATGTTTTATTTATTTTTTGGGAAACTAGTTTAGAGCATGTATTATTTTGAAGCCAATTTGTGGCCAAAGGTATTGTTTTGTTTGAAATTATTATAAAAATATGACTGTGTGGAAATTTTTGTGGATTTTTGTAATGTAAATAAGAATTGTAGTTACACCGTTTTTATCCAGTTTTAACAAATCAGCTGAATCATAAAATTCTTTCTGATTATAGATGATGTGGTTTGGTGAAGCTTTTCGATTCATTTGATATTGACAGTTATTTGCCAGATTTCAATAAATAAATATATAGTGCTGTGGCTTTTATTCTTGTACATTAGTTTTCCAGTTCATGTAGCGCTGAACTAATGGAAAATCATTTATATACGAGTGTGTGTGAATCTTTGTGTGGATAAGGGATTAGTTGCTTGCTGCCACGCAATTAGCGCTCTATAACTATCTCGACTTGTTGTGTGCATTCAGCTTAACTAATGCATTAATAGCTGAGTTGTGTGATTTATATAACTTTTGTTACGGCTACCAACTGATAAGATACTTAGCGTGTGACGTCAACCGTTCCAAGAACTTTTCACGTTTGCTAAGGGATAATGAAAAATCCTCAAAGACATGATGAAAGCTACGATTGTTGAAATGAAAATGTTGGAACGTCTAATTTTTCTAAATTATTATTATTTAATTAATATCTTTAATACGTTTTGAAGGGGCGATTTATTCTATGCCTGCCAAGTATTTGTCAATTAACAAATAGGAGATTGAAATAACTGTCTCCAATAACAATTAGCTTCTGCTGTTCAGAAGGAAGTAAAGTTTTCTCAAACTGGCGCTGATGGATTTAGTTACGCTTGAATTATTCTTTTACTCACTACATTGCAAAGCTTAAATGATTTCATTTTTAAAGTCATGAACATCTAGTATTGAAAATCAATATAAGCAGTTGCTGTCATAAATCGAGATACTATAGTATGCCTGCCTGGTAAATGTTGCCAATTGGTTTCACCTCAATAAACTGTGCTGCAAATTTCTCGTTTTGGCACAATTCGCTACACTATGACCCCAATATATTTGATGTTTTTGTTGCTTTTGCCACGTGCCATCGTAAGTTGTGTCCAATCATATAAAATCAAGGTTTTATAGTTATTTGTGAACAGCTTGGCGAGCAATCAATGGACGAAAATAGTACAACCGAAGGGCGAAAGAGTTACAAATGTGTTCTGCATTCTGTTGGTATCCTGTATCTGTTTGGAAAACTTGAAGCTGAATTGACTCGAATTGGAAAATGCTCCCGCATTAGTTATAAGCGGAAAGAGGGGCCTTCTGCACTTAATGAGGTGTCAGTCTATTTGCGGAAAGTGAAGAAAAAGAAAGCTGCTTGTGCTAAAAATGAAAGAAAGACACTCGGGAAAGTGGATGAAATAAGAAAAATGATAGATAATGGTTGTTGAATATATACAAGTATAGTTACTTGATTATTATAGAAGTAAGAAGCTAAGGGCAAGTTTTGCCTTGATTGTAGATAATGATTTAAGAATATTTGTTTTAGCTTTTTGTTTTAAATACCTATATTATCACAGTTTGACAAATTTATTTTCTACACAAAACGGCCTTAACAAAAATAATTTATACTTATTGAAGAAATATTCAGCGACCGTTATGGTTATATTTTGGGGTTTGTTTCTGCTATTTAGATTCTGTTTTGTAGATTATTCATATGAAAGAAATTGTTAACGGCATTTTTGTTGAGTTTAACTTGACAAGTTTAGAATTGACAGATGTTAATAAATTTGTTCAATTTAGCAATAAATCATTAGTCAACATACCTCAGCATATGGGAAAAGTAAGAGAATTAAAATGTGGATAGAATTTCAATACTTGTTAAAAAAATAAAGACGCTGCCGGCAAAAGCTGTAAGGCAACAAGTTAAAAGTTGTTTACTTTAAAATGACTTTCAAAACTAATCTAATTATTTATTTATTTATGTAGCATACGAATTTAATTTGAAATCAATTGGTTACATATAACTTTTTCTGCTCATGGTTTTTAAAACTGTATTTCGAAGCTGCTTTTCTTAGTAGAGAAATACACATAAAATGAGTTGGCTGGTCTGGGCACTTGCCATTCTTCTTCCCTATTCTATTGTAAGTTTCAGAAACATAAAACGTTCTTAGCCATACAGTTTTTTTTTTTATTATCAGTTTGGACGAAGGCCTTTGATGGACTATTCAGATGAGCGTGCAGAATATTTCATTTGTCTGCCACTGCTTTTGGAAGCGATAAGCGAATTGCAACGCAATGAATGGAGAGATGTTTTAAAATGTAACAAAATTTCACACGAGTCCCATAAGGTTAAGGAAGTTTCAATCAAAAATCTTTCACAATATCCCGAATTCTTTAGAAATATAAAAACACAAAATCCGTTCTGCATGAAAAAGCTAAAAGGATTGCAACATGAATATGAAAATATTATGAATAGAGTGGAAAAGGGATGTTAATAAATTATTGATTGGCATTACGAGTGTTGGATGAACAATTTAATAATGATGCGTGTAAATTGGAAAGTTTTATCATTGAAAATGATGAATAAATATATAACAATAATAATAAATAACAAATGATAAGACAAGAATAATTTTCTGGCATGGGCTACTTATATGTTTGAGAAGGGGAAATAAGATTGGATTGGACTATTTGAATAATAATAATAATAACAATAAAGAAGGAGCTGCCAATATGATAAAAAGGCACTTAAAGTATCTAAGCAAACAAGTTTGTTTCCAAAGTATAGATGCTATATTCTTGATCAGTATGATGAGTCATCTGTCTGCTCGGATCTCAGAAACTATTCGAGTTACTTATAAGAACCAAACACGATATCTAGATTTTTCTTCTTGGATACGGCAACCTTTCACGGAGCTCCAATATGCTAGCCATTCCATAGCCATTCGACGCTATCTGTTCCGGAACAGCAGTTGTGTTTATAGTTGCTCTGGGCCCCATTAATTATCTGCCTATCTGAAACCCTCAGTGTGTTGTCCAAGTGGAAGGCATATTTCAGCGGAACGTTGGCTTCTTGGGCCGCGTCGTTAGTTCGACTTTTCCACTGTCATTACCAAATTTTAGTGATTTTTCTTCAGCTCTTATCAGGCGCTTTCACATTTCCGCGCCTTCTGTAAAGGACAGCGGAGCAAAAATGAGAAAAAAGCAGCAGTCAACTTTTTAGTCCTTGCCGTTGCCGTTGCCCTTCCACCTTTTCCATCGTAATTAAAAGTTGTGGCAAATTTTGTGCGGTTGTTATTTGTGTTGTGTTGTGCTGGCAGGAACCCATTTGTTGTTGTTGCTGTTGCATGCAACATAAAGCTGCTTTTGAGCTGCCGGCTACGGGTTGGCATGTTTTTCATATTTGGCGCCAAAGAGAGCTATTTGGTAAGTTGATAGAGCTTGTTAGCTCTTTTGAGCTGCTAAAGTGTTTAGAAGTATTTGCGGATAAGCCAAACTGGCCGGTATGGATGTCGATTTATGGGGTAAGCTAATGGGAAATTTGGAAAGCTATCAATATTGAAAATTGACTTTGTAATTCTTTATACTGCGAGCAAGCACAAATTTCAAAAGAAAAAGGAGAAGCTTTGCTTAATTATGATTTCTGGTTTTTGTAAATATGCAGAATTCTTACTACAATTACTCAGCAGTTTAAGTTTAACTCTGAGCTCTTTACAAACAAATTAGAAGCTCTTTGGGACAAATTAGATGGGAGATAATGTTGTAGTTTCGCATGTTTTTATACCCTGTACCCGTAGGGTAAAAAGGGTATATTAGGTTTGTGCAAAGTATGTAACATACAGAAGGAAGCATCTCCGACCCCATAAAGTATATATATTCTTGATCAGCATGACGAGAGAAATCGATCTAGACATGTCCGTCCGTCTGTCCGTCCGTCTGTCCGTCCGTCTGGATGAACGCGAGGATCTCAGAAACTATAAAAGCTAGAATAACCAAAGTTGGCATCCAGATTCTCCTAGGTCCGAGTAAGGACGAGTTTATGTTTTTTTTTTTTAATTTTCCCCCCCTTCCCCCGCTACAGAATTTCGTCAATAGTGTCCACATTTCAAATGCTACCTAAACCAAGCACACATAATTAATATAAAATTGTCTACTGTTGTTTAAAATTTTATTCAATTCGGTCAATTCTAAGAAAAGTTATTAGCAAAACAAATTCTCGCCAGTACAACCCCACCAAACTGCAGCAACAAGCTCACTCTTCTTCTTCCTCTTTTTGCTGCTGCTATGGGCGCATATAACTCAGTGACGGAAGTTTACCTGGGTACAGGGTATTACACTGTCGGGCTTGCTCGACTGTAGCGTTCTCTCTTGTTAAAAAAGAGAATTGAATTCCATTATTCAACAGCAATGCATAATTGCAACATTTTTTAAATGCTTTCAAACGTTGTATTTATTAATTCCATTTATAGCGAACAACGCACTCAGCATTTATTTATTGCTCAGGCAGCCCTCGTTTTGGCCTGTGGATGCCACTCTTGATGCGCTTATCGCATTTTTCGTTTACTTTGAACATTTTTTCACGGGCGCTCAGGCAACTATTTATGTAGCCTATCTTGCTCCTGTCGCCAGCAGGGCATGAAAATGCAGGTTTGCAAAAAAAGGCACTTTTCAAAAGATATACTATATATACATATATACTATAAGCAATTAAAATATTATTTTATAGAATACAATTTTTTTTTAAAATAAACTACAAATAATAAATAAGTAAGATTTTTTTCTCATTGTTATTTGTGTGGAAAAAAAAAGGCTGTCGATGCATAGAAAAGCATTACAAAAGAATTAAGAAAGCGTGTAGAACGCTAAAGTCACTCAAGTACGACTATGTATACTCTGCATCAGCGCTTCAGCCAGTCACGGTTTTGCAATTGAAGTGCAATTTTGTTGTGCTAATTACTCCTTTGACAGTTTATGATATAGTGCAACGATTTCGAAGAAACTTAAGATAAATAATACCCATTTCGACGACAATCGGATGAGAGTTGCGACAATTGGTAGTGACATAATGTAGGATATAGTATATATAGTAATCCAGTCATGGCCCTCAATAAACAATGCAATTTGGGATACAGAATGAAAGTTTAAATGTTTACCTAAATATTCTTAATTAAAATTTTGTTGTTCATGTTTAATTTAATAACATTTGTCCGTTCATTAGTGTTTTTACTTGTCTGAATATTTATCTTATTAAAAAGGGTAGAAATGATGAACAAGATGTGTTAGTTAAGCTGTTATGAACGCATTTGTTTATGTCTAATACTAACTAAATCCTTAATTTATTTTGCTTTTTGCAGCTTCCCGCCAACTACGCCGCAAAGTGCCGTACGCCGGTCATTTGATGACGCCGCGACGTCTGTGGCTCAACAAAATACCCACCCAATGCGACGTGGTCATTGAATTTCCCGAGGATGCGCCAGATGAAGCACTTCGCTGGCTACTGGCACGAATACGATCTCCGCCCCCCGCCGGACTGGGTCTGGTTGTCCAAGTCAAGGCACACGAGAGCACGCGTCGCAATGCATTCTATGTGAGTGCGCCGGTGAATGTGTAAGTGGCAAATATTTTGAACTTCATAGTAATTGGATTTGAGAGAGGTGGATTTCATTAGTAGTTTCAACAAGTAACTATTTACAGTTTCTCTTTAAGAACAATATCAATTTACTAGTTTTTTGAAAATACAATATATTGCAAACCAGCAGGAATTTGCAGAGGGACTATCAATGTGGCTTAATAATCAGGATAGTAATGGGACTCTGAAATGAATCATGGGAGCAAGGCTTCCGGCAAGCATGAGGGAATACTTTTGCTTTTGTTCTTAGGTTGGTTAATGGTTAATGGCTTTTAGAAGAATTTATCTAAGCACTTGTCAGTTTAGGAAGTATGGGAGTGAGATATCCTCCTACACTCAAATTTTTCAAACAGTTAGGCAAATTCTTTAAACTGCGTTTTCTTCTTTCCTATTTTGTGTCTCTGTTATGTTATGGTAACATTTTGTCTGCTAATATCAACGCCAATTGAGAGAATTATGCGTATACATACATACATACATGAACTGTTATGTTTACATGTTTGTACATACATACATGCATACATATGCATATTAAATTACGCAGTAAAATAGTAAATTGAAAAGTGAAAATTATATATTATGCAGTAACCAAATATGAATCAGTGCGTACTTACATATTTATACTTGAACATTTCAAAATTGGAAAACTTTAACTTATTGAATCACAATTATAACCAATTAAAAAAACAAAACAAAAATTGAGGCACTGCGCAATTCATTTGATATTAGGCCAACACACATACCTAGATAAATATACGGAATTTTTGCATTAATAAACACATATTATGCACACTTCGCTCGCAACATAAAATGTATACATATACATACATATGCTTTCACATAGTTTTACTAATATTTAAACCATTAACTATAGGTTTTCTAAGAGCTGCCGGCAACTCCAATGACCGACGAGACCGAAAAACTAAGCTTTGCATTGCAGCTGTCAAGAGAATGCTCTCTGTAAGAATGCAAAAGTAAAGGCAAAGAATCAAAAATCATAACTGTAAATCAACTCTCGAGCCTGCCATACGTGTTAGGTGTAGCGATTTAGTTAGTTTACAGGGAGGGTATAAAATAAACCACAGCGCACTGTTAATATTTTGTTAATTAAAAAACTCTTTGAATTGTGTTAACGTGCCAGCGCGCTGTTAGCTACAGCTGTAAGCGACCGCTGTTAAGTAACAGCGCGCTGCCCGCGTTCGTAGCCTCGCTCCCTCTGTTAGCTAGTTATATGCTAATTACATTGAAATGTACAATTGGTATAGGAGGACTATATATCTACGAATCGCTCACATTTCTTTTATTTGAAACTATTTGAATGTTAACAAAAAATTTAATTTATGTGGGTTTTACACATCGTACTTCAATTAATCATTTTTTTAAGGTACTTTCATTATTTTATGATTAGTTTATAGAATGTATGTGCAGGGAACCCGCTCCTTTACGGACGTATCAGGACTCTTTCGGCAAGGTCAGGAAACCTAATATACTCTGGCGAATGAATGGAACGATTGCCATTCCTTCATTGCCTGGTACACTACAACTCTCACCTTCTATCTTTCCTACATTTAGTAACTAACTGAAGCAATAATTATACTTAAGAAGCACACGGTTTCTTTTGCAGACTTTTCAAAGCCGCCGAGGATGCACGCCTGCCAAAGCGCCTTCGTCCTGATTTGGGTGGCGCACTGCGTGAGTTCACAACACGGGAGAGCCACTGCTTCCAGCAGCTGCGCAGCGATGTGGGCAGCACGGCACTGTTCACATCACAGGAGCGACAGTGGCTGGTCCTTCAGGTGCTACAGGGTCTGCGCGCCGGCTGCAGTGACATCGACGCATTGCATGGACGCGCCGCAGTGGCCGAGGGTCAGAGCATTGTGGCTGCTTGGCAGGAGTCGGGCCTAATAACGCAAGTTTTTCCCCTGCATGAGACGCGATCGTTGTCACAACTCCAAACACATTGGGTTAAACAGATCTTTGCGCCACAACCGCTGGGTGAGTATCAATACTAAGAGGATAAGGGGTACAGCTAACAGCATCTAAAGAGTAACTTGTAAAGTTTGCCTTTTCCAAAACAAATTTATGGAATTTAAAAAAATTAAATATTCCATCTCTAAAACAATCTAATGTTTTATACAAAAATCAACTTTACCGCGTGAGAAAATTATAATTTTAAATATTTTTGTTTAAACTAGAAACGTTTAAATATTCAGAAATATCTTTTAAAATACAATAGTACAAGTATACCTACTAAAAGACTCTCAAGCGATATATGTATTAAGTATGATTAGGTCTTATTTTTAAGCCATTTCAGGGTACGAAAAATTTTGTTCTTGAGTCTTAAGTAAAATATATTTAAAACTTTAAATAATCATTAATTTTTCATGAAAAAAATGGATGCAAGATTTTCGTTTGTTTTCTTTGTGAATAATAAGTGGCTATAATTATTTTTCCATATTCAATCTAAGAAAGATAAGCCAATGATTAATTGTTTTTAAAATCAAAATTAAATTTTTCCTACTACTAACCAGAACTTCTCGCTGTACATTTCCTTATAGTCCTTTCTTAATTAAATAGTACTTATGCTTATTATATTTTTAAATTACAACTTTTATTCAACAGACGACATTGCTGCGTATTTTGGCGTGAAAGTTGCGCTCTATTTCGCCTGGCTGGGTCACTATACATGCGCTTTAGGCGTACCTGCTGTTTTTGGTACGATTTTGTATTTCATACTCTGGGGCAAAGGTCAGACAGCACAGGACATGGGTCATGTGCTATTCTCGCTATTCAATGTCGCCTGGGCCTCATTATATTTGGAGGCCTGGAAACGTTACTCTGTGGAACTGGCTTTTCGTTGGGGCACGCTCTCAACGCCGCCGGAGTTACTCGAGCCGCCTAGGCCGCTATATAAGGTGAGTGGGAGTCCGTAGAGTTAAGCTCTATTCGAAATTAAAACTTTCTGTGTTCTTTTCCGACGCCTATTTAATGAACATTTATGAAATTTTTCCTGAATATGGAATCCATGGATCAATTATTGCGCTCTTTCGTGTAACTTGTTCGCTTCTACTTTCAGGGTCCGCTGGAGGAGAATAATGTGACGGGCCGCCTGGAGCCAAAGGAAGCACCCGCTTGGCAGCGTCGCGCCTTTCGCTATTTGGTCAGCTTTCCCATCATTGGCCTTTGTTTGTGTCTCGTGTTTGCCGTCATGTTCCTCATGCTGCGCTTTCAGGTGAGTCAATGGCTGGCAATGGCTTTGCAATAGTTCCACCTTCCTGTCACACAGTGCGTATAATTGATATTGCTTTGCGGCCGCGGTATTTGCGCGTGTGTTTGTGGTGTGTGTCTGCTTATTAGATTTGATTTGATTTTGTCATTTATATTATCAAGTTGGCTGTTACAAGCACGCACGCACACACACACACACATACACACATTAACATTAACACACACGCACTCATAAGGACATAAACACATTACGTCCTGCCGCTGCGCTACTGCAATGAATTTTTATGCTTTCCGTTCGTTCCTTCGCTTTTTATTGTTTGGTTTTTCTGCCTTTTATTGCAACGCAAAACGAACATAAAAGCAAATGACAACATACTTATATACATACGTACTTGTATGTACATATATACATATGTATGTATACGAATTTATCATTCATCACGCCTCATTGAATTGTTTTTACATTTTGTGTTCCTCTTTTCGTTTCGTTGTGTTCTTGTTTTTCTTTTTCGCAGGATTGGCTGGATCACCATAAGATACCTGATAAAGGAATTGCTCAATGCATGTATAATTTGCACAAGGTTTTTATTCATTTACTTACTTTTATTATTACGACTATGTACGAGTACTCGTACCTGTATAAGTACAAATGTGTGCATGTATGTGGGTGTGTTCTCTCGTGCTACTAACTACTTAAATAAAATGCTTGTTCATTAAACAAACAAACGCACCATCAGCATCATTATCATCATCATCATCGCAAATTTAGGAGCTTAAGTATTAAAGCTAGGACTTATGTGAATGTAAGAATAATGGGAATGTCTTGCTGTTGCGATTATCTGGCCTGTTTATGGCTCTTCTAAAGTTCAAAATGAGAGAGAACGCTATAGTCGAGTAAGCCCGACAGTGAAATACCCTATACCCAGAGAAACTTCACAAGCAATCAGAAGAAGAGCGAACTTGATGCCGCAGCTTGTGGGTCGAATTGTTTCCAACAATTGACCGATTTAGCTGAAATTTGAAAGAAAAGTAGATAATTGTATAAAAATTACGTGTGCCAGTTTGTTTGAGGTAGGTTTTTTAAACCTACAGTATTGACGGACAGTATTGACGAAATTCTGTAGCGCGGGAAGGGGAAAAAATGCAAAAAAAAAAATAAATAAACTGGATACCAACTTTGCTTATTCCAGCTTTATAGTTATTCAACCAGACGGACGGACGGACTGTCTAGATCAATTTATCGTCAAGCTGATCAAGAATATTTATTCTTTATAGGGTCGGAGATGCTTCCTTCTGCATGTGACATTACTTTGCCTTGAAATTTCTGATAAATTAAATAAAATAAAAATATTGTGGCCGCCCTCCTCTGCGATTCTCATACCAAGTACCTAAGTGAAGGCAAATAGAGACTTAAATTGTGAAATTTCTGATAAATTAAATAAAATAAAAATATTGTGGCCGCCCTCCTCTGCGATTCTCATACCAAGTACCTAAGTGAAGGCAAACAGAGATTTAAATTGTGAAATTAAGAGTTTCAGGTGCCTTTGACAATTCTTAGCAAAGGTATGCCCGTTGGGTGGCCAAACAGGAGCTACAAAGAGTAATGTATTTCTTCTTTTTTTTTTTTGAAGCGCATTTATTTCTTTGCTGTGCTCCGAATAGCATTTTTCTCTTACATGCTAATTTTGTGTCGGTTTTAAATTTGCATTTATATGTAAATTTTCATTCGCCGTGCCCACAAACCAAGAAATTTTCAATTAAAACTTTGCTCACCAATACAAGCCCGACGCACGCATGTATGTATGTATGTATGGCCCGGCGGCCATTTTGCACACGCATTTTAAAAGCAAATACATACGTATGCACATAGTTGTTACATACTAGATACGCCCGCACAGCTGGCATTAATTAAAATGCTCAGCTTGCGAAAAAAAGGAAACCCAACTTGGGGCCATCATTTAAATTTTCCCTGCAACAGCAGAGACAGCAAATAAAAAGAAAAATAGAAAAAGAAAAGAAGCAGAGGACACAGGACAAGAAAATGTGAAGACCAAAGAGTAGCAAAAAAGGAAGCTGACAAAATGCCGAGACGCATAGTTGACGTTTGCAAATTTCACGCATAATTGAATGGCAAGAGCAACAGCAACAACAACAACAACAACAACCACTAGGATGTCAAGCAGGAGGAGAGACAGAGATAATGCCAGTAAGTGGCATCGCAATAATTTAGGCGCCAAGGCAGCGGCGAACAAGCTATATAGATGGACAGCCTCTGATAGTTTTCCATGCGATGATGGCCGAAGGATATTGAAACAATTAATGACGGCCTGAGCGATTGCTAGCATGAAAGGATGATGGCGAGCATGTCACAGCATAATGAAATATTCGCAGTTTTTCACAATGCTGCTGACCTTCACCAATAAAGACATTATTCTCACCCTACATAGCTAGCATATACTCGTATTTACTCGTACACAGCTCTTTATAGCTCTAACAGACCAAGGATGTGCGGAAGGAACAGCCAGCAAATGGAATATGAGCGCATATATATATATGTGTGTGTGTCAATGGCGGATATTAGTGTTTGCTGTCATAGCACAGCAGTCGCAGCAGATGTAAAGAAAAACTGAGTAAACCAAGAGATAAAAAGCCGCAGGCAAGCGCATAAAATGAACTCAACATAAATAATGGTAGGCTAATATATGACTAGCTGTTCAGCCAGCTTGCTGCCATTGCTGCGTGTGAAGAAACAGCAGAGCTCGCCACTGAATTAGAAATGTGCAATTTATTTCATGTAGATACGCAAATGGCAAAGGTTTAAAATCGCGCCAACACCAATAATAATAATAACAACTAATATAATGACATTTTCTCAAAGCTGATGATAAAATATAACTTAATGTTTATAGTTGAGCCAGCCAGGAATCACCAAACAAACTTTTCTGTTTTCTATAAATTTGTTTTGATAGTATTTAGGGTTTAAAAGCACTTTACAGAACACTTTCGTTCTAGAGAAAACATTAAAACACCCTTTCCAACAATTTCACATTAATTCTTCTACAATTCAAAACAAAAATTTGTACAAAACAAATATCATTCTTCTTGTTCGATAGTATGTTTAATAATTACAAGTTATATAAAAAGCAATTAATTTTTTTTCTGTTACACTTGTATGAATTTTCTGCCAGTTTACAAAAAATGATTAATTATGGAAAAGCTGTTGTTACATAGAAAATAACTGATAGATGTGTGGGGGATCGAAAAAACTGCATTAATGAGTATGAGTTGAATATAATTTTCGAATTGGCTCACAGAAATGCAGGCTATATAAAAAGTACTATATAAAGCAAGAGCTGTTGACTTGCGCTTTTTAGGAAGAAGGCACATCCTTTTTTGCCAATTATTTTACACATTAAATAGTTTGTAGAATTAATCTCAAATTAAAAATTTTGATACACATAAAAATATATATATGGCCAGAGCAACGAAGGCCTTAATAGAGCTTAATTTGCTGAAATATTACTGAGATGTTTTGTAATCGGAAATTGAGTTGTTTTTGAAAATTCAACAGCAACGTTTTAACATTTTTTATCTTGCGAATTAATCAGCAGCTTATGTTAAACTAGTTGGCAGCATCCCTTTTTATTATATCTCGGTACAGACGTAAATAATAGATCTGGAGAACATTTATGCTAGCTGTTTGACAAGCACCTTTTGAATAGCGATTTTATCTAGCTAAGGATTTATTTAATCTCAATACCTAAAGGTCTTAGGTTCGATTCGCATAAAGCAATAAACAATGGAAAATTCAAAACAATTAACTGATTTAATTCGATTAAAAAAATTTGAATTTTCAAGGTTCAAGCATCTTTTGAATAGCGATTTTATCTAGCTAAGAATTTATTTAAGCCCAATACCTAAGACAGATACGAATAAAGCAACAATGTAAAATTCCAAAAAATTAATTAATTAAATTCGATTTTAAAAAACAGAGCATTTTCAAGGTTTCTGCAATAATTAAATAATGGTAGAATTGGGACAAATTGTTTTAAAATAACAATTATGTGCAAATAATTTCAAAAATTAGTATAAAGTTGTAATAGATAAGGCAATTTTTTTAAATTACGGAAGTAAGTTTTAGAAATCCACCATCAAAAATAGAGCCTGTGGGGATCTGCTAATATATCAGTCTAAATTTAGACCGAACTTGAACTAACCACAATTGTAAGCTATACCTCAAAAGCCACAAAATATAGGAAAATTATCCTGCGGAAATGCTTACCTACAAAGTAATCGCAGTGCCGCACATTAACTCACACTTTTTACGGATTCCAGCTCATCAGTCTGAACTTTATAGTGCTCTGACAATTGGCGTGTCATGCTTGTTGTTTCTGCCACACTCTCGACATTGTTGTTGCCACTGAAGTGTGTGTGTGTGTTGGTGTGTGTGTGCGCCCTAGTAGCTACCTATAATGTAAATGGTGGACATATGATTTGGGTTTTTTACTGCTCACCCGAGCACTTAAACGTCCCAGTAATGAAGCGTACGGGGAATTAAATGTGCGTACGTTTGTCAAACACGAGCATGGACCATGGACCATGCCCAGTGCCAAGCACCGAGTACCGAGTACCGGGTGCCAAGTGGGAGCCAAAGGTGTGTGTGCCAAGTGGCAGTTAAATGGTTTTGTCGACTGCTCTAAGTGCTGGGCGCCTTTTTGATGTTTAAAGTGTTGCACGCTCAGTCGCTTGAAGGTTAAAGGGACAGTCCCGTTGTACGTGAGCAGAAAGAGTAAAAGGTATACGAATAGGGCTATTTGTCGTACTTTTTGCTTACTCATATGGTTGCAGAATACAAAGTGTTGGTTTGGCAAAACGAGACGAAATTGAAGCTGCTGTTTGTCTCGTTCTAATAGCTATTATATATCCTTGCTGAGCCATAAAGCATGAGCGTTGCAACTAAACTTGTTTGGCAAAACAAGAGACTTGTTTCTTTGTTTGTCCGAAAAATGTACGTATATGGTAGATTTAAATAAATAATAAAAAATATGTATAAACATAAAAAATAGATACACTAACAAATACAATAGACAATAAATAAAATATAGTAAAAAAAGACAAATAAAAACAACGCGGAGCAAGTTGAAAATCCTAACTCTCCGGAACGAGAGTATTCACAGATACCCCAAATTCGCTAGAGAAAAAGGATTACAGAACATCAAAAAATGCTCGCTTTGCATTCAAATCCTTTTGAAAGATCTCTAATATGACCAACCAGCCTGGCGACAAACTGAAGGAGAACTTCAGGCCACTAATATAATTCAATAATTAATTTTAAAATAAATAAGAGTAAGATATAATAAATTATTATTAGAAAGAAAATAGCTGGAGCTTTAATAAATAAATGAAAAAACCTATTTAATTTTTCGAAAGAGAAACTCATGTATTCTTAGAAAATGTTTATTTAACTTCTACTCTAGTTCGGGAAATATTTAATAAATAATTTTTAATAATTTGAATTTGACCAAACTAATTCCAAAAGATTTATTTTAAAAGTTGTCTAGAGCAGTACGATTAAGAAGATTCCTTAGTTGCTCGGACAATTGAAAACATTTCTTTTATATATAAATTATATTCATTAAATTAAAATGTATATTAGATATATGTTATACTTGTATTCATTAAAATGTAAATGCATTACAAATTCCTATTCACTTGCATTCGTTTCATAATTCTGTAGCTTCAAAAGGCATTTGACAATGAAACTAATTAACCTGCTCAAAACATATTGCACCTATTCATCGTGTGTATGTGTGTGTGTGTGTTTGTGGCCAGAACAAGCGAAAAGCTGTGTAATTTATGAAATTATGCTGCCAGCTGAACCAACTACTTATAATTACCCATCACGTGCCCCATCTTCATGCTCGCAGCTTGCCCAACGAGCTGCTAATTAAGTTGAAAATTGCACAACATTTTTGCGCAATTGTTGAGAGCAAAGCATCCACACAAAGGCTGAGCCAAGGGAGCAGGTAAAAAAGTACAAAACTTTTGTTAAAAGCGCAACAATGCGGCGGCGACTCGGGCATGCGGGCATGCAGTGTTTTTTGTACCCTTACACATCCTGAATGATAACAGCTTCAACGTTTCAATGGACTTTGTTGCATTGCACACAAAGAAATTAAAGCTTTTCTTTGTAAGGATGTTGGGATAATGAAAAGTATGGTGTTTTGTAATTGCTTCGAATTAAGATACAATACACTCAATTGATTTCAACGTTTAAACCTTTCGAATAATGGAAATATGAAGCATATGGCATTTGGCGAATCTGATTGCAATTTGTAGATGTTCAGTAATGAAGCAATATACATTTAAAAAGAAATCTTGTTGGATAGAGATTACAAAAATAAAATAAATAAATCAATGTTTGTCATCGATAGACCCCGAAACTATAAATAAATGAAAATAATAATATTTGAATAGACATTTAGACTCGTTGCTTACAGATCTCCTCATTAGCTACTGAATTTATATTTTTTAATAAGTGACTAATAGTGTCAACTAAATGAATTAAAAACTCTTTGTAAACTGCGCTAGTTTATTGTACTAATTATAAATACAGCAAAGGGTAGCTTAGTAATCCTCCGTTCCTAGTAATCCTCCTGCTAAGCGAAATCGTATGAAACGAGACATGGACTCAGGTTTTCAGATTTCCAGAAAGGCAAGGAAAGAATAATATTAGCCTTTGTAGTATTCCACATTTCTTATCTTCTGATTGCTCCTCTTTCTTGGGTAAAATTAATCAGTAATTTGGGATTGCTGTGGCATTTAAAGCTTCATATATTTTATTAACCATCTTTAAGTTCGCTTTCTTCATCTGATTTTGAATTGCTTGCTTTATTCACAGCAATGTGGAATAATAATAATAATTTAAAAGTAATACATATCTTACAAATCTGTCGAAAATAGGTTTGTCATATTTAAGTTTGTAAAACAACGAAACCAACATTTTTCTTTAAATTATTTAACTTTTATTCCGTGAATATAGAAAGAGAGTGAGATTATTTTCAACAGAAAAATCACATGCCTATATTAACTTGACAGCGACCACAGACTGTCCAATTCTTTTTACTTTTTGAGAAAAGTACCTAAATAAAAAAAAGAGCTCACTTGCCATTAATTAACTTTTTGTAAAGGAATTTTCAGACACATTTCTTCTCACCATCTGAAGATATTTTGTAATGTTCTGGGCTCATTGCTTTTAGCGCTAGATTGAGAAGCACGACCATCTGCTGCCCATTGCTCTGTGTTTCAAGAGAAGCCTTATCTAAATCGAATTACAAATAAGCTGTGAAAACATTTATACAACAACAAAAAAACCACCAAAGGGTATGCATAGTTTAGCATGACGGTTAGGCTTATTTTCCTGGGAGCCAGCATAATTAACATACCACTATTTGACGAGTTGTACTTTGCGGTTGACAGTTGCATGTTATAATTCGCTAGAAATATGCACGTCCCGTATGGGTAATTGCGAAAAAGAGCCGCACGCGCATGTAGACAGACTTCTGGTACAATCTAAATAACAAAGGACCAAGGGGGGCACATCACGCATACGCAATGTTAGCCCAATTGTGTAAGAGCGCTCGCGGCCCTTTTAGCGCATTGCTGAGCTTTCCCAGTGGCCACAATTGCGGATTTTATTTGCTGCGTGTGTGTGTGTGTGTGTGTGTGTGTGTTGGTATACCAACGGAAATATCGTAATGGAATCAAATTGGCCAGCCATAACGACAACAGAAGCAGAAACAACAGCTCAATGGAATTGGAATGAAGTGCGAACGCAAACTGAATAATTACGCACAAATTACGCGATGAGTTTCGGTTGATGATAATGGTTAATAGCGTGTGCAGACCAGTTTAATGCTTAATGCTGGCCAACAAGTTAAATACCGCGCTGTTCCTATTAATCTCTCCAGTAAGAGCTTTTCAATTAGCGTTTAATTTAACATTTCATAAAAGCGGTAATTTGATTCATTAACTTCTATTAAACAAACATATGCTGGATATATTTTTTTTTAATGTAAATACACATCCACTTTTAATAAAAGGTAATTTTGCTTTAAAAAGTTTACTACCAAAAAGATAATTAAAGGAATGTATATGTATACTTTGGCTATTCTGTATATTTAATCTGTGAGATCTCTTTGCAAATTGCTAATAGCTTCTAGAAAAATTAGTGGCACAAAGCATTAATTAATTATTAATTACAATTTGGAATGCTAATAATAAATAATTATAAAAATGGCGTCTTGATAAAGGCGAAAGAAAAACTGTCTTCCACAACCAAACGTTGGATTTTGAAGCAATTTAACAAGAATCGCCAAACAGTCGCAGTGAAAATAGCAATAAAAGTTGGTTTAGATTTCAATGTTGATGTCTGGACAAACAACAAGAAATTTAATAAATGAAGAACCTTTCCCACGTAAGAAACTGTACATCAGTGAGAAAACAAACTTATACTTCTGAAGTTCTGATTACTATCCAGCAAGCGGGTTCCTGGGTGTTTCAACGATGATTAAAAGACTATTGGCTTGAAAATAAGAAAAGTATGTCCAATAAATGGAAAATAAATATTAAATTTTGTTCATAAATATTTGATCACTGTATTAAAGAATATTTGTTGTATTCTCATTATGAATATAAAATTAGAATAAATGTTTTATTCATATTATTTAAAACGATTAAATACCATGTGAGTTATTTCCCACTGCACATAGATTTGGAAAATATCTGTAAATATCTGAATATTCGTTTTACGCAAATTTAAACAATTTCGGAAAAGGAACAAAGGTAGTAGTAACTGAATGATTTATTTATTTAAAGTGATATTTAAATTGCTGCTTGAATCAAGAAGCGATTTCCTAAAACTATATGTAAAAGAATCAATGTTCAAGGGATTTTACAGATAACACAATAATATGTACAAGTATCAATAGTATATATCAATAATAAATAAAAGGGATTTGTGTTTTAATCTTAATCTTTAAACAAACAAATACTAACCCAAAACAAATCATCCACAAGCACATTTCAACTTAAATATGTATATTATTGTCATTTAGGGTATTCTAAAACGGTTTTTAACGCTTTTCCTTTTTGTCTTTTGCCACCCTAGGATTGGTGGGACTCTAAACTGCCCGAGGAAAGTGTTCTTTGCGCTCTCAGTGTCATACCAAAAGTGTTACTCGCCGGCGCCATAACGCTTATGGATGAGGCCTATTTCAAGCTAGCAGTTTGGTTGAATGATCGCGGTAAGCAACTCTTCATTTATATATTACTTGTATATAGGGGTATATTTATATTCTACAGAAAACTACCGTCTGCAATCGAAATATGAGAATCATTTGATAGCGAAGGTGGCGCTCTTTCAATTCGTCAACTCGTTTCTGTCGCTCTTCTATATAGCCTTCTATTTACGTGACGAGGACAAGTTAAAGGAGGTTACTAAGTTCAGAGACTTATAATGATAATACAATTAATATTTTGTATTATTACTTATAGCAACTGGCCGGTCTGCTCATTTCGCGGCAAATTATAGGCAATCTGCGCGAATCCGCCATACCATATTTTATGGAGCAATGGAAGCTGGCGAAGCTGAGCTTCAACATGTGGGGCGCCTTGAGTCCCACACAGCACGCGAATCGCAGTCTGGCCGGGGATCTGGCGAATGCAGCCCAACTAGGTGCGGATTCAGACACGCCCTCCCCCGCTCAGTCACCGCCGCCGCCGCCGCAACAACAACAAGAATCCAGCAAACGCAATATCGGACAGGCGGAAATAGAAAGCTCTCTGTACAAGGTACACCTTCCTCTCGACTTACCGAGTAGTCTGACGACGGTTAATGCCATGTTTTTGGTTTACAGTACGACGGCACCTTTTCGGACCATTTGGAAATGCTCGTTCAAATGGGCTATGTGGTGCTCTTCTCGGCCGCCTTTCCCCTCGCCGGCGTCTGTGCGCTCATCAACAATCTGATGGAAATACGCTCGGATGCCTTCAAGCTGGCGCATGTGCATCAGCGGCCATTTGGACAGCGGGTGGCCAACATTGGAACCTGGCAGAACGCACTCAGCATTTTGTCACTGGCCGCTGTCATTGTCAACTGCGCCCTCATCGGGTTGTCGGGTCAGGTATCGCGTCTGTGGCCCGGACTCAGTACGGCGCAGACCATAATATTGATTGTTACATTGGAGGTAAGTGGAAGGACAGGCGACTGTGTGAGTTGTGGAAATATTTACTTAAAGGGCGCACTGCAAGGACTTGCAAGAAGAGTAAGAGCTTCTGTTTCAATGATTTCATTTGGCTAGAGGCCATTTAAAAGGAGCCATTTAAAAGGAGAACTGAGAGAAGAGTTATAGCCACAAAACAAAGTTTGATTTGATTTGATGCAGAATAATAAATCAATTAATGAATAAATCATTCAGTCAAAAGGCAATTAAAACTAGCAATTAAAAGATTTCTTTTCCAAGACGTTTGTTATGAAGCGTACGCATAATAAGTAATTTAAAACAAGTCGAACCATTACATTATAAAGTTAGCAAGGGAAAAATCGGTAGATTTTGCAGTAACCTGTTTATTTTTAAAGTTTTTCTCAATAACTCAATAAAGTTTCTACCATTTTTTGTCACCACCATGGCTAAGATTGGAGCTATATTGGAGCTCAGATTGCTAGAGCGAAATAGGTAGCTGCCGCATATTGGAGTCTTGCCATTGAATATAGAAGCGGCTAACCCTATAAGTGAACCTCCATTAAAATTTCTTGCTTTACGCGACTCCTTCGGCTGCCTAATGTTTCGATAATAGAAGTGGTTACCATATAGGCCAGCCAGTTTAAACTGCTCCGTCGCTAATTACAATATTTTGTAGGCATGTGTCTTGCTAGTAACTCAGATTATGACAGGCGTTTTCCATATTTAACAAATTCTGATGAGATTGAGTTAATGAAAATTTTGTACGAGACTTTGTTTTCCTTTAATGCTAAATTTTCTGAAACATTCTACCAAGGAGGAACGCGCATAAAATTTTGCATTTTATCATGTTATCCACCGTTATGAACGAAAAGAAAAACAATTTGCACTTTTGAACAAAAATATGTTTGAAAATTATTGCCAAATGTATTTATTTATCTATTTATTTAATTGAAGGTATCGCCACAAAAGTATTCTTTTAAAATTGTGCTTTATAGTATTTAAAATCAATATAACCATTTAAAGCATTTTGCAGATAAGCAGAAGTAGTTATTTCTTGTGCTCGTACATTAAAGTGCTTATCTCAGTGAAAAACTATTAAATAATATCGAAATTCTACTACTTGTTGCCTTTCTCTCAGCCCGAGTGTATTTTAAAACTAATTACTATGAAAAATGTGCATTGAATCAGATAGAACTATTTCGTAAAGAGTTTCTTTTTCTTTTTTAGAAATGTATATTTGACACAAATCTCTCTCACTCGACTCTGTTGTGCGGTTCTTAAATATTGCGCGACTCTGTGCACAGGACAGCAGAAATTTGAACATTTACATATAAATAAGTTTTGAATTGTTATTTTTGTTGCAGCACATCATGCTGGGATTGCGCCAAGCACTAACTTGGCTCTTGCCAGAGCTGCCTTCTTGGCTGGCAGCGGAAATTGCGCGTGCCGAGCATTGTCGTCGGGAAATGCAATGCAAGGGCACCTCGCCGCGTCCCACTCCACCGACCCCCCCATCGACGACATCCACACAGCCCGGAGATGAATGTGTTGGCTTGGGTGCCGCCCATATGGATAGTGGAGCGAACACCACACAGGATCAGTCGATGGAGAGCCAAGTGGCTGAGGATTTGTTATATGGCCAGGAGTTGGCCAACTATGGACTGCAGCATCGCAACATTGAGGCGGATGTGAATATATATGAGAATCGAGATTCCTCACCAGACTCGCCGCCATCGCAGGTGAGGAAATGTTTGAGATTGTTTGGCGATTTTGGCGATATTAATTAGTTTGATGGAACGCATAACCCCTCTTTTCTAGTTGTGTGTTTTAGTGTGAGACTACTTATTGGAATAATTAAGCTGAAATTTGTGTATTTGTGTTGTAAGCCTGTCAAATAAGAGCTTCATTGTATTTTTATATAGTTAGTGGACATTTGGAAAGTAGAATTCGCAGAAATGGAAATTGTACAGAAACAAGAGTGCTATACAGCTTTACGGTTGATGACGTTATTGTAATGCTATTATAACAAAATGTGTGTATTAATAATTGAAAAAGTATTTTAATTATTTAGTTCATGTCTGTTTAATGGAAGCAAAAAAAAATAAACAGACTCCTTAAAGAAGTCAAAATATATGGCGCAGGGGGAGAAAAGGAGAAAAGGTTTTAGAAATTGTTCTTATCTTTCTGATGAGAAAAAGGTTCCTATTTAAAAAAGCAGAAATTAAAATTTTGAACATTGATTTTTTTTTACATTATTCTGCAGCTTATAGGTACCTAATTCGAATAGCCAAAATATTAATAACATTTCAGCAGTATAAGATGTTTCATATTAAATATTTATCAAGTATACGTAAGATGAATTGCTTATTGCTAAATATAAATTGATCAGGAATATAATGAATAGAGCAGTTTGAAGAAGTGTTTCATAATATAAGTACAAATATAACTTAATAAAGTAAACAACGGATATTTAAATTAATGAAGGATCGCTGCTTCGGTAGTTGACAGAAAAGACTGACGGCTGCCATCTTGTTGCTATAGGAACCTTACATATACAGTAAAAACTCTCTTAAAGGACACGTCTTTTAAGCGGACACCCCTCTTAAGCGGACACTTATGTAGAACATTCTTTCAGTGTACTAAGTATTTAAGTATGCCCTTAAGCGGACAAAAGTTTACCGATATATCTTACATATATATCTTGTATATACATATGTGTTATATATTTTCGCTAATTCGCAGAAGAGTTACAATATCTAGTTTCGAATAATATTGAGAGTGTGAGAGTGTTTGAAAAGCAGACGAGTTCTAGCTTTGAACATTCCCTTTTAGAGTCCACAGTTTTTGAAAGAATAACCTTCAAATCCATTTACTAATCGTCTTGATTTTCCCCTTGCAGACCAGCACAATACTCATACGACCGTTGCACGAATCGACTCCACCACACAGTGGCGCCTCGCTGACCAGTTTGCATCAGGATGGCCATAATGGGTGTGTATGAATAAATTATCGTGGTATACGAGAATAGGGATTGAGGGTTTTAAGTACTCTACACACGCTATCGCAGCATAAAGCAGCACACTTTTTTTCACTCCCAAGTCCAAGCACACACTCACACCTTAACTAATTCTAGCTGTTTTTTTGGGGTAATCATGTAACATTTACTTAACTCCTGCTTTCTTTTAAAATAATAATATGTTTTTAATTAAATAATGCAATTTGTCATCCGCCTTAGCGCTTGTAAGAGTTGTAAGCGCAAGTCGCAAGTCTCCATACCGGAAATACCGCCATTTCTTGGATATTCGGTGCGCAATCTAAGCGCGCTGCCAACACACAGTAGTCAAAGAATAAAGCAACAGATCCTAAGCGGGTAAATGATTTGTGCTTATCTGTAGCTGGTATTATACTATAAGACTGTCTGTCTCTAATCTTTCGACAACAAAATACAACAAAATGTATACAAAATATTATATGTAGTTTGCTGTTCGTTATCCTTTCTCTGTGTGTTGTATCGCTTCGACGCTTCTGCAACAAAATTTCACAAAAATCTATCAAAGAATTGGCAAAACTGTATCTATTCAGCTATTCTTAGTGCGCAAATTGTTTTTAAATGTGGTAGCAGAGCAGAATATTCGAAAAACCTTAAACTAATAAATCGCTTGTCTTTTTTTCTATCTCTCCACAATTTTTCTATTCGCTTACTTTTTGTAATCTTTATACCCTTTGATCCCATCCCGCTGCACTTTCACCCAAAATCTTTCCCCTCATTTCTTTGGCTATTTCCAGCGCTTCTGCCAGCACGCTAGCTCTGAACTCTGCCGCCAGCTATGCCGCTCGATCGATGCATATCCAAGAAATACCGCCATTTCGTAAGAAATCCACTGACTCTGCCGATCACACAGGTAGCAGCAACAGCAGCAGTCCCCAACGCGCCTCCGCGCGTCTACAGCAACAGCAGCAGCAGCAACAACAACAGCAAGTCGGAAAAGTTCCAGAGATACCACCTTATAAGACACGAAAGATATCTGCGGAGAGTGCAACGCATTTGCATATAACCGTAAGCTTAAACGGAAACTTGATTCATCTCACAAACCAGCCCATGTACACAACTTCCTTTCTGTGGTAGATCACGTAATAGCTCTCTAGGTATTAGTTAAAAACTAATTTGTAGACCCTTGGAAACAATCACTCACGAAATACTAGCGGCTTTGTGAGAAGCAGCACTCCATTGTGGAGTTCTCTATAAATAGAAAATCTAGTCTGTGTAGTTCCTTCACAGTGTCTCACTTATTCCGCTGCCTTTCATAGTTAAGCCTCCACTTTAATAAACTAAATCGATCGATTGAAAGCATATAAATGATAGTGGCATTCCTACAAGTGATTCAAAAAAATCAATCGAATTAAATCAACTCGAAGACCTTTTCAAGTTGTATTATAAAGTCGTTTGGTTTCTTTCTGTAAGAAGTTTAATCACATTTTGTAGTATTTGATATAAATAACTGGATTAAATTTATTCGCCTTTAAAGTTTATTTCTTTGCTTATTGTCTGTTTACCCGGACATTCCATTATTATTATTATATGCTCGTAAATCAAATTTAAATCCGCACTTGGATACCACTACTATGGGATAAATAATAAACTATTACAGTCATTTTTAAAAACATCCTATTACTTAATTTAGCGTATTAATAGCCCCTCCAGTACTCTTTACAATGCTCACTAGAACTTATCAGTAGAGCTGTAACGATGCATAGATTTTGATACTTTATTGAATTACTTTTACATTCAAACTCTTTTTACTTTGAAGACTAGTAGTTGGTTTTCAATTTATTATCTGGTCTCCCACTTAAAACAATAGACAAGTATCAATACGCGTGTATCCAAATAGTTCTATTACCAGCACCCCATACAACTACAACTTTCTAGTGCATAATTTCTATTTAATTTGTATTGCTACTCATCAGTATTCGTTAGAAGTACTCACAAGTACATACAAAGTACGCTCAAGTACATAAAAAGTAGTCACAAGTACATCAAAAGTACTCATCCTTTAATAAAATGAGTATTCAAGTGAAAAGTTAACACAGAACGACAGAAAATTCTTAGGCGCGCACAGAGTAAGAATTTGTGGTGAAGAAACATGATTTTTTCCATAGCTTCATAATTCATGTACATCAATTCGAAATCATTGTAATCACATCTCCCTATGTCTGATGTTCGAAGGATAAACTGCATATTAAGCTCCATGCTCCCGAGTGGATGTCACGTTTGAAAGTCAACGACAATGCCAATCTACATAGAAGTATAGATTGTATTGCCAAGGTAGTGAGAATTACACAAAAATATCCAAAAACCTATAAATATGCATATTTTTAAAACATACTGTGTTGCTCTGCCATGGCTGCTCTGGCTGAAGTTTTGGCTGAGCGGGTGTCTTGTTATCATATAAACAGATATAAAGTATATATACTATATATATATTAATTGACTGCTTAAAAGCATTTACATATACATACATATCCAATATTCATAAACTATAATAACTATTGTTTGGTTTTTAAACAAAAATAATCACACATATTGCTGTTTGGTAATCCTTGTATTCTATATAGCCTTGCGATATATCTAATTGGTATGAGATGGGATTAAGCTAAGCGAGCTGATGGTTTTTAAGCTTTAAAGCTTTTGTCACCAATTTCCAAAAAATAAAAACCCACGCTGGCTTTTAAAAAATAACACAGATTGCATGACATTTATAGATCCTTGCCGTTTCTATGCCTAGCCCGTGCTTTGAATGTGTGTTGTTTGAACTGTTTACTCGCAGCAATTATATCAGAAGACACACTTAAATTAATTGTATTGTATTTGTTTACACGCGCTCTCTGAAGGAACTAACAAGCAATGCAGAAGCAGCGGATATTTTAAAGCCGGCACCGTCCTGGAGTAATGTGGCATTGAAGACGGGTCTGCCCAGCAGCAGCAACATTGCCACACCATCACAACCCACACATCCGCAACAGCAACAAATTGTGGCCTCATCATCGTCCTCGTCGGGCGGTGGCGGCAGTGTGTTTAGTCCCAGTGGCGCAGGACCTGCCCCGAGCAGCATTAGCAATTCACAGTCTCGGCCGAGTGTGGGCGCACTCTCGAATTCATCATCGAGCTCATCCCAAAAGCATCAGCAACAGCAACAACAACAACAACAGCAGCAACAACAGCAGTCGCAGAAACAGTCGAAGGAGGAGAAGCAGCAGGAGCAGGAACAGTCGCAGGCTCAAGCAGCCACTGCATCCACATCAGCGGGTAATACCGATGACGAAGCCAAGGGTGGGTTAACGAAAATATTAACTCTTGTGTGCATTATCCCTATAATGTGCCTCTTTGCAGCTGCCGAACTGGCCGCCAAGAAGTCGCGTCTCAAGCAGAAACTGGTCAAGAGTGCACGATCGGTGGCCATTTTCTCCTTGAAGCTGAAGGAGCGACGCCAACGGGAGGCTGAGAAGGCGGCTACCATAGCTGTGGAGCATGCCAAGGTAAGGACATAACATATAAGAACCTGCTTCTTAAGGCAAGATTGGATGCCTTGAAGCATATATTTCTCTCTTGACAGTTAACAAAAAATTAACAATTCAGAAGTGTTGTTCAATAACTTGAAGAGATTACACAACAATATGACTTTCTTAGTTTCTACATAAATTGCTTTAAATAATAGGGCTTGAAGCATATATTTCTCTCTGCCAGTTAACAAAAAATTAACAATTCAGAAGTGTTGTTAAATAATTTAAAGGGATTACACAACAATATGACTTTCTTAGTTTCTACATAAATTGCTTTAAATAATAGGTAGCCCACAACACCAACATGTCTCATTTAGTTTATATTTATTTGGGGATTATCTACTCAGGGAGAAGTATTCCTATTGATACTTCATGTATAAATTTGTTTTAAATTGATGGAATTATGAAGATGGCTTCTCAAAAGTGGCAAAAGATAATAAATTATAATTTATGCATGTGATCAACAGAAAAACAAATCCAACCCAGTTCCATTTCAAGCAGAAATAGTGCGCCATAATAATGATATTTCACATTTAAAAAAAGAAACTCCTGTTGCTTTAAAATGTGATCTGTGGACACTCTAAAATGTCGAATCTGAAATTTGTGATTTAGAGAAAACTAGAAACTATCACTAAAACAACTGATGGACTATTTATTAATTTACAATTAGATATACGTTAAATAAAACATGAAAATTTATTTAATTTAGGATTAACGCTTCGAAACGATCTCCATAAAATTTAGAAATGTAGAAACAATGCAACCCTATACAAAGAAAGATTTAAAGGGATTTTTTAATATCTGACCATCGATTACCAAACTTAGAAAAAACTGTATCAAATATCTGACTATCGATCAGCAAACTTAGAAAAATGTCTATCAAAATGTGAGGTAAAAATATTCAAGATGTACAGAAATAGCTTTTCCTCTTAGACAGTTTCAACGATCTTGAGCAATATCCAATAATAGCAACAGTTAGATAAAATAGAAAATAAAGATCAAACAGAGATTGTTAAATCGTGGAATTTATTTAACAGAGTGCAGAACGCTTTAAGTCCAATATTAAATATCGGATAGTCGTTTGGTAGCTTCATAAATTAAATAATTAATCGTCAAATTTAATGAACAAATTCAATGATAGTCCACGATGGACAGTTCTAAATAAAAACACTCTGCTGATACAAAAAATAAAATTTGGTAGCTTTAATAAGTATCTAGGAGTTTAAACAAAACACAAATATAAATACTTATGCAACGCATTATTTATTATGAAATTAAATATTGTTGCTTGTTCATTTTAGGCGCTCGCTAAGCTGCCGCCCATGCCCCAGCCTGTTGGCGGCGAGCTGTCATTAATACCCATCGAACAGTTAATACAGATTGACGATATAAAGCCTGCGATTAAGCCTGCAACGGCAGCAACAACAACGACGACGACGAGCTCGTACTCTGCAGCGACGTCGAGCGCGCATCATCATCATCAGCAGCAGCAGCAGCCGCAGCATCATTATCATCAGCAGCAGCAGCAACAACAACATCATACGCATTACACGGATAATTAAAGAATATATATATATATATATATATATATATATTATATACATATATTGCGAGTATATGCAGTTAATGCCGCTTAGCCTAGCGCACACACTGTAAATAATTTTCTATGCACCCCTCCACTTATACGACAGTTCTCTATATACTTAGTACATACTCTATCGATTTGATACCCATGATATACCCAGAACAATGATAACCCAACATATTGATGATATGAGCAATTTGCTGAATGTGTGTCTTGTCCAGAGAGTTGGAAGTAAATACTAGTACTAATCTCACTCTTAATGTTTAAATAACAATAAATACTATGTAACACCTATTTTTCAAATACTCGCGCAACTCGGCAAATCAAACAAATTAGCATAAAAGACAAAGTATAGTACGAGTATGTATGTACGAAACGAATTTTGTTTAGCATTTAGCAGTTGAAGTTATTTGTAGTTAATGTTGCAAAATGTTGTTGTATTTGTTTTTCTTTAGCCGCATTCGTTATTACAAGTATGTGTATTTGCCTTTAAGTTGCCTCAACAATCAACATCACTTGACAACGACAAACTGTGACGCGAGCTTGGCGCTAAACTGTCGTCCATTGTTCCTTCCATATACAAAACGAAGAAATACAAACTCAAATACGAATACAAATAAATATAAAAACGAATAATTATATAAAAAAAGAAGAAAAGAAGTAACATTGCTCTCGCTTTCAATCAATTAAATATTTACAAAAATAAAAGTGCAGCTTTTTATCAATTAAGATTTAAACGAATACTGTTCAAGTCTGCAACTATTTTTTGAGTTATGGCTTTAGCAGATTAGCGCTGTAAAGTGCAAATCAATTATATAGAACTAGATGATGAAAACGAAACACACTGTAACGAATGATATTTGTACATAATGTTTAGCATATAAGCGTAAAGAGAAATTTACAGAAATTTCAAGTAAAAAGTTTAGCAATTACTAAATTGTGCGTGGTCTTGTGTTATGGAAAAAGTAAAAAAAAGAAGAGAATTGAGTAAAACAATTTATTTGAAAACTTGAACTTGTCATTTTCCTTTATAAATGCAGCTAGTTCTTTGAATATCTGTGACATAATAAGTAAATAACTTATGATATAAATAGATAGATATTCTTTTTCTGCTATTGTTCATGTTAGTTAGCAGTTTTATTTTGCTTACATAGCTAATAATGATGGACTGTTTACCTCATTATGCATTTATATATAAATATAGACTGAAAACTAGACCTGAAGGAAAATTTTAAGTCTAGAAACAAGCGCAGTTGAGTAAAAACCACAACTTTTTTGTTGGTTTTTTTCTTCACTTGATTCACTAGGACATTCATTTAAAATACTTTGCCCAAAAGTATGCTACATTTTATTTGAGCTTGCGGCTGTGTTTGGGGAGACAATGAATAGCCAATAAATGCTAACAGTATAACAGTTTTGTATGTCTTCTGTAGCAAACTTTTCGGAGCTCACTTAAAATCGCAAATGTTGGCAGTGCAGTAAATAGTTAAAAAAAAGGGCATTAAAGTTAAGGATTAGGATAAGAGGTCAAGGTCTTTACAAATAATAATTGCGTTCATATTTATTATAATTGTTGGAAAATATTTTCTTTTTTCTTGCAAAGTTTTAATTATTTTTTGGATTTTTTCTCAGCTACATTTTGAAACTAGAAATTTGGAAACATAATCGTTTCTACTGGAAATATAATTGGTTTAAATTAAAACTAGTTAATTATTCTAAGAAATAAAGAACTTGGTAAGTTTGGGTTAAAGTTAAAGAAAAGGCAATTGGAAGAATTCCAGACAGATAACAAGGTTTGTAATAAGCTTGAACGTTTGATCTTGCAATAAAAAATCTGGATCGCTCGTTTGTTGTAAGTTATAGTTGAAAAACTTATATAAGTAGTAAGTTAATGATGCTTTTAAAAACAGGGCGTAATTTAAATTGAAAAAATTGAAGAATTTTGTTAAAATTTGAAGTTATCTTGTTTAGTTGAAGAACCCTCAAACAGAAAAAATGATGCTGAGCTGAATTACAACAAACGCGTTTGTGAAACGTTCGAGCCCATCTTATAAGCAAGTGCACGGATCGCAGCTTTCTTGGCTGAAAAACGGATCAGTGTGTAACGGTTTTTTATGTTCTTAAAGGAAAGAAATGTAAAAGTACTGAATTAATTTGGAAATCGTTTGTATGGCTATGCCCAAATTGTAAATTTGCGAGTGCATTCACACCACAGTGTGCTTTTTATTTTCTAGGTTCGGGTTCAATTGCCCGGAATGCCAGATAACAATGCACTTTTTTGTTAAGCATTTTGTTTAATTTTTGTTGTTTCTTTTCACTTAATAATTCGTTGGCTTCGGCCGCTCATGCCATAACACATGCCACTCACTCATGCCATAATGGCAACTCGTGCGCTCGTGTGCTTAAAACGCGCGCTAATTAGTCGTACGTGCGGAGTGCGTTTGTCAACCGGACAAAATGGGCTGTCCAGAGATCGCTGCGCATTCACTTATCACTAAATTTAAATCAACGACGCGACAAGCTCACCTGCAACAATGACATGTGTGTTGATGATGAGGCACACAGCAACCAAGTGTAGCAGTATGGCTTGCTGACCCGTCTCCATCTCCATCTCCATATCCATGGCCATTGTCATTCCCATTCCCGTTGCAGGGCGTTTTTGTTCCAGCTATAAAACAAAATGAAAAATGTTGTTAAGACAACAACAACAACAACAACAAATAGCAAACACTTGTACTTGGTAGTTTATTAGATTTAAACGTAATGATTAAACCATGCCTCGGGATCAACTGCAATCAATTTTGTGGCAGTTGGAAAAGTTTCAAGTGACCAATCATTATCCTTGACCCGCAGGTGTACTCGTATGTGAATGCGAACAGAGTGCAATGTGTCATTTTAATTGCCTGCAGTTTGTTGCCGCTATTGGAGTTACATGGTCAATGTTCTAGTAATTAAAATATTTCAGCTTTCCGTCTGGCTCATGCTTTGGAATTTTACAGCACGTTTTTGTTTTTTGATGAGTAAACCAAATATGATGAACAGCAAAACGCATACACGTCTTTAAATGTAAATCGTATATACCGCTTTCGTTCACGATAAGTATGATATTGAAGCTTATAAACAGTCTAATTAGCGAATTTGTCAGAGTCTTCTTGAAAAGTTCAAATATTTATTCATAAAGTTTGGAAAGCGATATTGTTGGACTTTTCCAAAATAAATTGTGAGGATTTTTAACAGAGATTGAAATAATTTTATTTATTATTAAATAAATAAAATATAATATATTTTAAATATATTTTTGAAATGAAACCCTTTAAATATAATTAGCATAATGTTAAATTACAGTGCTGAAGAGTCTTTATCTTACATGCTTTAAATGTGGCCCTGAATACATACAAGTATATTGTATATTCTTTTTAAAGTTATTTATGTGTAAGAATAGTAAGTATATTTTTACCAACAACAACAATGCAATAAACATCATATAAGACTTTTTCTTGCAGAGGGAGCTTGAAAACTACAAACAACAAAAACTAGTAAAAATTTGGGCATTGATTCAATAAATAATGCATAAAAGCAGTTAGAAAATATATATTTTTAGATTCGTCAGTGGAAAGCACTGATTTAAAAAAGAATAACATTGTCTTCTCGATACCGACACACGTCAATTATTCTACAAATATATCCTTTTCATATACTCTATATAGACAGATCTATTGTCTAATTTTATTTAAAGAAGTGTGCTATATTTCTAAAACCACAAACACTTCTATAAGTAGATTAAGATGGGAACATTGTATTATTATTATTTTTTAGTTAGGTTAGCTTGATATGGCTGGAGTGATGGTGCCTGCTCACACACTTGGCTTATTTTGATGTCAAATAATCATACTTGTATTATTGTTTTGCTTTCTTTTGTCTGCGAGAGTATCTGTGGGAACATTTTTCATATTTCTGCTTAGCTTAAGAGCTTCCGTAGAAATGATTGAATGGAATGCCAAGTCTGATAACAAACAGTGGAAATTATGATCGCCACTTATGAATTAGGAGTGTTTGTAGTTTGGAATTTTCAAAATCTAAGCTGCCCATTGGGTTCAACTGTTAAATTGAAGAAATACATTTTTAATTCCTCAACTCCATTTCCCTTCTAAACTATTCATTTGATCGAATGCATATTAGTGGGCACCAAGGTTCGCCCATATAATTGAAATGGTTAATAAAAACAAGCGGAGGAACACTCGCTGCACACCTCAAGACTACTTCCGCATTGCGTGACTACTGCAAAATGGCCGCATACCGACGTGTAACCTCGAGAAGGCGCCGGCTTCGGCACACAACCGGAAATTGCAGCAAAGGCCCCACATAAAAACACACAGCTGCAATAAAAACTATCCAATAAAATGCTGAAATCGTGTACGTAAATCTGCGCAAAAATGCAAACGACAGGAAACACCAAAGACCCCAAAAAATATTGCTAAGCAACCAGCAAAAATACACAAAAACTAAACAAAGCGACCGTGTACACACACATTAGTCGAAGCAAGTTAAAAAAAAAAACAGTGAAGGCAAGCTCTGGAGGAAACCATAACGAGCTGGCGTTGCTATATGGTACCTAGAGATCAGATGGGGCTGACACGGAGGCTGTAATGCTGATGCTGATGTTGGTGATGATGCTGAAGCTGATGATGACACACAGTCCACTCCGGGTGCAAACAAAAATTAAACATGGGGGCAACAACTGACAAACTACAAGCTTTATGAGTGATATTACCGTAAGATAATGAAAACTGTGGGGCGTTGGCAGGTCTGGAGAAATCGCGGTGACCGTTTTGTTAAATTGTGTTGTGTTTTCCTCAGAGCCGTAGCTACAAAATTGTTTAAAGGGGCGGTCTACGAAAGGGATAATATGGTTGTATGCTCGTTTAAATGATAAGCGAGAGAGGGCGATCTAATTAAAATGGAAACTATTGCTGAAGTGAAAACAGATGTGAACGAACCTTTAATAATACTACAATTTGGTTGTGAAGAAACAGTACCCAAAAGAGTAGACCATTAATAAATAAATAAATACAATTGGGTAATACTGACTGGAAGATAGAGTTAAAAAAACTTTATGACGGTTCAAAAATTCTTGTTGTTTACTTGTGTAAATGATAAGCTAGAAAAGGCGAACCCATTGGATTGTTGATCTCCTTAAAACTATTGCTGCAGGGAAAACCGATGTGAAGGAATCTTTTATAATATTACAATTTGGTTGTGAAGAAACAATATCTTTTGAGTATTGTATTGCAGACCATTAATTAATAAATAAATACAACTGGCTAATATTGACTGAAATATAGAGTTAAAAAACTCTATGACGGTTCAAATATGCTGAAAAATGTGAGCTGTTGAAGTTTTGACTTCTGCACAATTGTTGCTTCTCTACTGCTCACGCATTTGGCCTCTCTGTCATGAAAGCAGCCTAATTGCCACGCCCCGTTCTCTTACTATGATAACTGTAAATACTCTCCCGAATAATAATGCAAGCCTGTGCGCTGCAAGAGAGCGGCCTGCGAGCAGCGAGGAGTTAGTCTTAAGCATACGATGAAATAAAACAGAGGAGCGAGACGGCAGAGTAACGGAATTGTTTTATTTATGATGAATTTATTTTATGTCCTCTCTTGGAACAGCTTTGAGTTATTCTCGCTCTTCGCGGATTGAGTGGGGATGCCAAAATTTGCTTGTCAATGCATTCGAGCAGGGTTTCGCATTTTAATTTAATTTAATTTTAATCATTAGCCTTTTGTAGGTTCGCCCTAGATGTGGTTTTCCCCACACAAGGTAATAATTGGTAAATTTATTTGGTTTTCAAGTAAAATAATAAGCTTGGTTATTAATTTATATATTTTTCTTTATGACTGATAATAGATAAGTAGAAAAATAAACGATAATTAAAT